AGTATACCATACCCTGAAATATTACATCTACATCATCTACATCTAGGTTTACCTCCAGCTTCTTATTTACAAAGTCACGAACAAAGGCTTCTTGTTCCCAATAATCACTGAATTTATCCTGTACTCCAAAAATTATTAAATTTGGCTTTCTATTATCCTTTTCCAAGTATCTCACTTTTGCGCTTACTTTCTCGTATTTATTCTGGGCATCAGTAATTTACTCTTTAATTTCCATAACTATCAAGTTACGATTTCTTTCCATGTCAGTTTTTAATTCTTCCTTGAATTGAATTCCATTAATTGTCCTTGATCTATTTGTGTTTTTAGTATATTACGCCAAAGAAATAGTTAAATGGATTTATATTTTTTAATGAGTAAATTAATCGCAAAGAGAATTTATTAAACAGTCAATGTCTGTCTACTCAGCACAAAAAAAAAGGAATCGCTGGGTAGGATGTGTATTATTTGTAAACTATTAGCAGATTAGCCGTGGCACCTGTTACAGTCGATAACAATAGTTTACTGGGCCTCCCACAATCCGATTGTTCCTTATCTTTAAATCCCGACTAAGAACGGTTGAATATTCGCTAGTAAAACTGTTAATTATTCACACATCTTTTTTTTTTGCCACCAAATTTTTAGTCAAAAATAACGCACTAACACTGTTTTACACTTATATGTCAAAATAATCTCCGCCTCTTGTAACCACTTTTACAGGATTTTAAAACAGAGCAATACAAATGCGTGCCGGTTCGTTCCAATGGCAGACTCCACGAATAGTTAAATGTTTATTACATGATATTATTTGACAGTCCAGGAAGTGATGTTTTATGAAAAGAATAAAAGTCTTTCTCCTCCACTTGTTGATGTTATGCAAGTGCAAGTTCGGTCCGAACTAAGCAAAACCGGGAACTGTCTGACACGATCGCCAAATAAACGATTTGTTCCTTTCGATCAATCGAATCCTGCCAAAGGTGGTCAAGCACGGTTTTCACCAAAGCCGGGTATGGCTGCGTTCCATAACGAACTGGACCGATTTCTGTAAAATATCCTATATGAATAGTCCAAAAGGGTTTATTTATTATATATGAAACTGTTTTGTTTTTTAGATTTTCTGGCAGTTAGACTTAAAACATCTTAAATGTTCATATTGCTGGAACTGCCTTTTCTCCATATTTTATTATTTTTTAGTAAGATAGATTTTTTCTAGTTTTAAATCGTTGGAGTGAAGAATCTCTAGATACAAACTTTCAGAAGATAAAATTCAAAAGTAGTATTCAGTGTGCGGTTCGTCAAAATATAGATTATCGTTATTTTTTTAGACTATTACCTCATACACCGTTGAATCAAACTGTCACTGGTCCAACAAAGAAGTTCGACTAAAAGAATCGCACCTCAATTATTTCGTATGATAACGGAAGTGACTAACAACTATGACAAACCTGGACTTAAACCGTCATTTAAATCATATTTGAAAAACTGATATCACAATCGCATTGCCCAGGGTATAAAACTGCTCGGGGTATGACCGCTTTGTCATTCCCGCACGATTTAAGATTTCTGTTTTGGAATTCTGGATTAAAATACCCGCTGAGCCCTCAATACATGTTATCGACAATAGGTATAAAACTATTTGATTATTATATATTTATTATAATGTGAAATTGTATGGTAACCGTTGAATGTACAATATGTCCAATAAACCATTCAGGTTCAATCACCTAGCAAATAATTTTACACGCTAATTCCATTAACTGATTCAATCGGAAAACACAGTCATTTACATTGTGTGAATATCACTTCAAATTACTTCTGTTACGAGAAAATCGGTACTCAAAGTTACGCCAATTTAAAGAAACTTTATGCATAAACAAAATGGCTTGATTATGTCTGTTATTTCTTGCTCCAAAAATATAATATACAATTTGGGTTTTCTTAAATGACGTGTGAAAAACATATTTTTATGTTTCACATTCTCGAAAATTCTCTTTCTCTCATGTTTATAACTTTTTTCCACAAGAACATTATTTGTTTATATTACTCATGCTTTCCCTTCTCTCTCATTCTCTCTCTCTCTCACTCTCTCCCTCTCTCTCTCCCTCCTTCCTCTCTCTTTCTATCTCTCTGTCTCTCTCTTTTTCACTTTCACTTTCTCTCTCTCTCTCTCACTCTCTCNATATATATATATATATATATATATACAATATATATATATATATATATATACTTATGTACTTTTCTATCTATGTATCTTTCTCTGTCTACCTCCAAAGCCGTTGTAGGAGTGGCGAATTTATCTCTCCACCTCGCTGTCGCTCTCTCTGTCTCTCTCTCTCTCTTGGTACTTTTGGTGATAGGGTTGTATGGGTGTGTATGGATGTTTATTTGTATATATCTTATCGGAGTGTGAATCCCATCGTAGAAGAGTTGGTTCGGTTTATCCGTAGTTCAATTCTTTTATCACTCGCAATTAAAGGAAGTCGGCGCCAAGGGAAAAGGGGTACAAGACTGAGCGGACCGATAAACGCAAATACAGACACTTGCGTGGGAAGGATCGTTTTATCGACGACTGATGAAAACGCAATTCTCACATTTCCTAATAGCGTTGAAGCTATTAGGTTTAACTAATCCTAAAAAGCAACGGGTTAAGGTTTCGATGAAATTTCGAGGCATATTGTAAAGTTTTAATTCTAAAAATTCCTTTTAAGATAGAAGAAAGTATAAGAAAAACCGATAACTCTAACGATACCTGCTTTCAAAATAACTGTTTAATAATATCATTTTTTATAGATGCGTTTTATTTTACAAACTGAAAATATTGCATCAAATTTGACATGACGGTTAAATTTTCATGTGTAGTCGTCTAATTCACAGACAAATATTTAAAAAGCCTCAAAGCTTACAGAAATGCAAGGGTGTAGGCTTAAAAAGTACGCACAGAATTCCATTCTTTTCCCTCCTGACAGTATAGAATCCAATGATAGGACGTTAAACAGTATTTATTGCTCATTCTCATGTCTGACAGCTTTTCTAGTCCGCCTATTCTCGCTGGTATTGCATCCATTCCTACGCGCCTTGGCTTTTCGCCAAAATCACATCGAACTACAGTTCTTCATTGGAAAAACCTGTGAGTAGAAGTTGGAACACGAAATTCCAACAAACCATGATAAAGTAAGTTGAAACGTTTTAATAACAAGCTTCTACATAAAAAAGAAAGGATGAGCAATGGCAGGCTCGATCATTTTGATAATGCTACATTCAGTAGGTTTTAAACGAATTAACTAGTTGAAAGCAAAACATTCTCATAAATTAATTAAGGTTTTTGTTTGAGATAAAAATGTCAGTGTCACGAGCAGGATTCGAACCCACGACCTTCGGCTTGATACGCCGCTACTCTACCACTTGAGCTATCGTGACTTCGATCCTCTCGGGCACTAACTTCCCATCTCAACCCCACCTTTTGAATTTTCCCTCCTTTTTCCTCCTTTATCTCAACTAAAAATCTTAATTAATTGAATGATATTAATTGGTCAAGCGGACCACGAAAAATAGTGAATTTAATGAATTAAAATGAAGTATATAAAGCTCTCCGTGGCCATTTCATTTGTCGCCGAGAATCAAATAGATTACACATTTGAAAAATGGCAAAAAGGAGGGAAAATTCAAAATGTGGGGTTGAGATGGGAAGTTAGTGCCCGAGAGGATCGAAGTCACGTTAGCTCAAGTGGTAGAGTAGCCGAAGGTCGTGGGTTCGAATCCCGCTCGTGACACTGACTTTTTGTCTCAACTAAAAAACCTTAATTAATTGAATGATATTAATTGGTCAAGCGTACCACGAAATATAGTGAATTCTCATAAATGTTTTTGTTATCATTCTATTTAAAAATCAATCAAAACTTTTTATTTATGTTGACGAATGATAAGCGTACAATTATGGTCAACTGATAACCGATAACATTTTTACAACTTTTAAACCGTTAAAATTTGTGGCCTATTTAATGCTATAGAACCATTTTGCTCACAACACATCTCTTATAAAAATAATCAGCGATAACAAGGAAAACAAGGGGGCTCGGTGGCCGCAACGGTTTAGGCGTTGACACGGCGCTCATCACTGTAAGGTAAAGGTCCCGGGTTCGAATCCAGCCGCCCTGAATTCAAACTCGACATACTTACAAATGTTTTTTTTTTCTTCAAAAACACCGGCACTCCGAGGGTTTGTGCTTTTTTTAGTCTTAAAAGGCTCAAGCCAGATATCCTTTATTTCAGACGATGGGCGATATTAGGCGGATCACGTATGGTCAACTAACAAATGTGACAAAACATTTTTTGAAAGTTATTTTTCAATTGTGTATATCTAGTGTTGTGGTTTTCTAAAGTGGTTTTTAAGCCTAAATTGCTCCAGCCCGTTAACCATTTATTGGGGCATTTCATTTCAGACGAAAAGCGATATTAGGTGGACCAAATATGATCAAATGACAAATGTAATATATAAAAGTTTTTCTAATAAATGTCTTAAATCAAATATATTTATGTTTGTGTTTTTTTATGCGGTTGTCAGTTTAAATGGCCTAAGACAACGTTCAATAGCGTATTTTCTTTCAGATAAAGTGCGATAAGCATACCAGTATGGTTTGCTCTTGTGAAAATGTGCGATGAATCCCTGGAAACTCGTCATTCACGAGTACTTCATTCATTTTTAGCCATTGCGGGGAAAAATCAAGCCTCGGTTAATCTATTTTCTCAGGGTGTCACTGAGCGAAGCCGGCCCGTGTCACGAGGGGCTGAAAGGCCGGCCGTCTTACGTCCGCTCCGCCCTTGCCCCTAATTCGGCGGAATCGCCCTCAACTTGACCCGATCCCCGGGTAAGATGATGATCCCGTCCTCCGGCCCCGGGAGAGAAAGTCCCCTTCCAACTGGGGCCCTTCCTGCCCCTTCTTCGTCCCCCGGGATCCCCACCAGCTCCGTCCGCCAAACGCGCCCGCCGTTTTCACTTCAGTCACCTCTCTTCTGACTGTGCGTTTACACCGTTCGGGAGATTTGTTTTTGTTTGTTTATTTATCTTTTTCACGATTTTTTTTTTGTTCTGTGATTCCGTAATTTTCTACCGGGCCAATTTTCCAAAAAACAACATTTAGTGCTTACATTTTTTTTTCTTGTAATCGTGGGCAAAAAACACAAGTGATACCCTGTGCAGTTTTCTATTTGGATTACCCTCCCTGGATATACCATCTGGAAATTTTTTTTCCTGTGGATCCAAAAATTTTGGTGAGATTATTTTTACAAAATAATAATAATAAAATAACGTAATTAGAAAACAGTCCTATAAAGAAAATAAATTAGATAATAAATTTTTCCTTAGCTAAGATGCAATAACATCTTTGTGTTTGGTGTTGGATATGTTGATATTTGAAATACACTCCCGGTCCGCTTCGCCTCGCTGGTTACGATAAATAACATGTATTAGTACTAGAGTTTTAAAAATTGGTAAACATACGAAAATTGGCATGATGACAATAGAAGATCAAACCGCAAATATTTTTGTCGTTAAACAATGAGGATTAATTATTTACAAAAATTATTCTTCCGCTATTTTTAAATGAATTGTATGTTATTTATTTATTTTTGACCTGATTGAATTCCCGCCAAACCATCTAAATAATCTTCAAGCGAAATATTTTGTTTTTTCAAAATAATCAGTTCAACCAAAGAATCTCAAGGTAGTTAAAATATTTGATAATTGATCAATAATTCGACCTAGATATACAAGACCAAAACAAGGCTTAATAAAAATGCGAAAACTTGGGGAAGATAAAAATCAGACCACATCCATGATTCCGAAAATTTTTTTACTTTCTCCTCATCAGAACTTCATTATAACATTTTTTTAAAACAAATACATTCTCTCGTACATATCTGAAGGTTTTTTAAAAATTGATCCAAGATGTTCAAACCAAATGACTTGTACAAAATGATAAATTTTAAATTTTGGCCAAATTTCGTAAAAGTGGGCTTAAAATTTCTATAATTTCGAATTTTTTTACAATATAGGATTTTAATGAAGAAGACCAAGTAACTAGATTTGTCAACAAATCAGAAGAAAATAACGATACGATGCACACAAACAATTAATTAATTGACAACATACAAATCAATAAATTGAATACAAAATTGAAGGATTTATATAGCTTTGTCAGTGAAAATTATGCAACGTAAATTTAAATATTAAACGGTACAGTAAACAAATTCAAAATTTGGTTTTTAAAATTTTAAATTTTTTTGATTTTTCTAAAAAAATTCTGATTTTAAATTTCTGAATAAACTTCGTTAACTCTTGTTTAAATTTCGTTATTTAAAACATTTCCTCGCTATTGTAAAATAACTTTTTCTAGGAACGATTTTAAATGTTTTAAAATTGGCTATTCAGAAAATAATTTATTAAGCAATAAACAAACGTTATACTGCTTTACGAAAAAATAATCAAAAAACTTATTTTCTCTCTATTACGTCATGTAATCAAACTTTATTTATATTGCTCGAGTCCATAATTTTCAATAAGTCCAAGATTTTCGGTACTTTTTATACATACGTTCACGCACCACTAAGTACTATTTTCATTTCCTGACTGCTATCACAGATTTTATGTACTCTTGATGTTTCAAAATGGTCCAAATAACTACAAATTCGCTATTTTGTATCACAAAAACTTTTTTGTTTTTTAAATACACAATAAGAATAATTTTCACAATATGTCGCAAACTTAAACGTTAAATAACGACGGGTCGGTGGAAGTCATACCAAATAATTAAATTAAAAAAAAAAAATCCTTGACCTCTGTAATCCTAGTCATTTTTTTTTCAAACAAAATCTTATAAAATAATATCTTTTTTAGAAAGAAAACCCTCTCAAGGGGGATTGAATAAAGGATGAACGTGTCCGGACAAGCGGGAATAGACGGACCGAGATAACCGCTGACAGGACAGTTGTAAAACGGTTATTCAATATTGGACCACGTCTCAGGAAATAAAAGTTGGGAAAGGGGTAAAAATAACTGCGATCGTTTCATAAAAGAAAAACAATAGGCTACCATGTTTGTTGTAGTTATGGGCTGACCAAATCGTTAAATTATGAAACTTTTATTGTTTTTGTATTCAACGAAATGGTCAAATCAGATGGATGTGAAAATTATTTTTTAAAAAACATCAACAATTGTGTTAATAGAGAAAATATGTAAGGCAGCGTGAACCTTAAACTTAAAATTAAGGGGGCGTCGGTGCCCGCAACGGTTTAGGCGTTGACACGGCGCTCATCATTGTAAGGTAAAGGTTCCGGGTTCGAATCCAGCGGCCCTGCATTCAAACCCGACATACTTACAAATGGGCTTTTTTTTCAAAAACACCGGCACCACGAGGTTTGATATAACCTCAATCTCCTTAATAAATAGAATTTAAAATAACACATTAAACAAAGAAATACATGGTAACATAATAAAAAATCTCCTTTTAAAGTACATAAAAATAATACAATTTGCCTTGAATTACGATCAACTTAATTCAATATTGCAAATACAAGCTGGGTCCGCTTTGACTCGCTGGTTTTCACAATAAAAAACACTTTTTGTTAACTATGTTACAAAATATTAACGTATGTGATTGTTTAGCACTTGTAGACAGAGACGATTGAACCACAAATAATTTTATTATCGTAATAAAAATAAATTATTCCTTATAATCATAAGAGATTGTTTTTTTAAATAGGACTCAGGTCCTAGAGCCATGAAATCGTATCGTTTGAAAGTTCATGTTTTCTTAGGCAGACTTATCATCAGAGATGATAGTTTTTGACCAAAATCGTAAAAAAAAGATAAAACACGTCATTTCATTGCGCATCCCTGGAATGTCTTTTTGTTTATTTAACCGTTCTTGTCGATGTGCATCCGGAAAAAGAAAACATTCGCCTAAAATCGCTATTTTAAATTCTTTTTATAAATATTATTCTGTATTTTTTGAGAAATTTCGTTATTCAGAGTTATATATATTTTTTTTAAATATTCGTTTTGTGTTTAACTTTTGTATACTTTGTAGTTTTTGTAGATTTTCCCAACCTTGATCAATACATGAACGTATTCCTCAAAAGTCGTTTGACTTTGATTTTCGTTAAAATAGAAATCGTGATGATGCTTTAAGAGACTGGTAAAGACGGTAGTTGAAGAAAAACTGACTTACGCGATAGGGGGGGTGGCAATGGAAGCAAGGACTACCCAGGGACGCCCGCCGCCGAAGGACTGTACACACGTAGGTACAAGCGTACAAACACGGGACAGAAGGTTCCTTCCAGGCACGTTCCTTTTTCTAAATAAAAAACAAAAACATCAAACAAACCGAAGAACAAAACTAGGCCGTGTTTTCAAATTTCCGTAGAATTCAAATCATACCAGGTTTGGCGACCGAGTCGATAAAGACAAGTAAAAATTGATCAAAGGAAACAAATGAATAGTATACAAATATAACCTTGAAAACTGAACAACATAATTAATAATTTTTTATTATATATAAGGTAAAAATGCGAAAAACAATTTACAAAAGCTCCGAGTTTAAACAAACACTTATTATTTCAAGTATTTAGTAACACACTTGAAGTAAAAAAAAAAAACGATCCTCCTATGACAATTTTGTATATATGTATATCCATACAAATATGTATGTATATTCTTCTGAATATTTACATATATAGGAATTTTTTATTTTCACTTTATTTATCAATCTGTCTTAATTTTTCTCTCCTTCATAAATGACTACTTTAATTATGTTTAATTATTAATTAACGTATTTTTACATGCAAAGGTTATGTACTTAGTATATTAAGCTATAATCATTATATAATGATATATATGCAGGTACAAAAATAAATGTCAAATAAAACGCGACTTGTATTTTTTCATTGGTAAATAAAAAACAACCTCGGATATTATTGATTGATTGATTGATTGATTGATTTACATAAGCTCAATCCTATACATACACGACATAACTATATCCTGGGCCTAGGCAGTCTGGGGTTAGCCCCGAAGTTTGACTCCAGGGGTTGTCAACAGCTAGGTTTCCTATTAATATAATTCCTACGTACATATCCTAAGTACATGAGCACTCAATATTACCTCCTTAAAACACATATATATATAACNTAATTTATCTAGTTGAGGCTTGATGGAGGAGGTCTTAATATTCAACCATCAACTCTCTACACATTCACTCTAATAAGTACTTTCACTTTCAATAGACTCAACTACAAACAACAAAACTGCCCTGTCTTCTGCAAAAATCGGAAGAGGGGACTCAAAGAATTGACGCAATATTCTACATTTGTACTCGCTCTCTATATGGCACCTAGAAATAACACCTTTCAATTAAGTTGGAGCTTATCAAGTTGTGTTGAGAAGTATTCGATATTTGTTTACACTTTACACATAATGTATAAAATCCAGTTGAGCGTAGATGGTCTCTTACTAAACATTAACGCTAATAAATAAATTCTGTCCCAAAATAAGTAGAAAAATACGCAAAAGGGTTAACTTAATAACTTAAGCTCCATTTTTTTCAATATTATGAATAAGGTTCCCAAAAATTCGCTGCTTTAAGCACAATTCCTCCACGTTTGTTATATGAAGCAAGCAGGGACGCATTCAATTAAGCGGTTCATCGAGCCACTTTTTTTACATGCCGGAAATATACCCGGGCTTAATCTAGTGAGGCTTTCAGTCTCATTCATTGTTAAATTTACTCTTTCCTGTAGTGGTATTGAATATTCGACTATCGGCTCTCTACATATTCACACAAATAAATACATTCACTTTCAGTATAAACAAAAATAAAACGTTACAAAAATATCCGGCCCGGAGGACTAAATCATAGTGTACTATATTTAGTTCTCTATCCTTCACTTTTTTCAGTTATAAATTCATGAAATATATATGTATTATATTAATGTTTTTTATAAACATCTGATGAGGTTTGTAAATGGTCAGAACAGATGGTTTTTATGGTGATTATTTTAAGATAGGTGTGGTGATTAGTGATCGTTAATCGATAATTATTCAGAAATCGTGAGATGCGGTCTGGTGTGATGTTGGTTTCAGAAAAACATTTTCTTTATCGTGCCAACGTTTCGATCTTTATTGAGATCATCTTCAGGGCCTGGGATTTACAAACATTGTTTACATTTAACAAATACATTTAGGATGTGGAAAAGTGAATTTATACAATGCAAAA